CTGTGTCTCCCGGCCTGCTCCATGCCCGGGCTCACTGGCTGTTCTGTGACTCTGTCCGCAGATTTGGGGAGTTGAGGAGGAGCACCCAGGGCCGGGGGAAAACATGATGACTGTGAGCCCCGGGAATACACCGGCCTGTCAGGGAAGTGGCCGTGCAGAGGGAGCTCTGCCTGCACAGCCCCGGCTTGCACTGGTGTCATCAACAAAGCTTCCAGCAGCCTCTCTTGTGACAGTCACAGAAGGGTGTTCTCAGGTGATAATGTGCTTGTACTTCCACTGACAGCTTCTCGGGAGGCCTGGGGAAGAGCAATCATCTCCGTCCGACCAGCGTCGGAGGCATTTCTAACCACCCCCCCCTAAAGTGGTAGGTTCGGGAAGAGAGAGGTGGTGGCCAGGACGGGGCCAGGCAGTCAAAGCTCAACAACCAATCACCACCTGCAAGCTTCCTTCCAGAAATAAAAAGCGGGTCTCCCTCAGATAAGGGACACAAGGAGAGCCCGACGCCTTTCAGAGTGCACACCGGCCGCCCGCCGGACTGTCTTTGGGTGGACACCATGAAAAAGAACAAAGGAAGTCACCCATAAAGAAAAAAAGTAAATACTTTTTTACTGACATAGGATATAACATACAACTGGGTAAAACTGCTCACCAGAGAAGGCGACATTTCTACAGCAGGTCACATACACGTTTGTGGATGCGGACGGTGGACACAAGGAAAATGGATTGGATACAGACTGGACTAACTTTCACAAGCTGTGGCTCCTGGCGAGGGCTTCTGGTGTATAAAAGCACTGTAGGTGCCTGGGTCCACGCACAATTCCCCCCTAAACCCTTCCTCTCGAGGGGATGCTGGCAGTAAATAACATAACTGATTAGATACTTTGAGGTGCTTCCTTCTATTGCTCAATGGAGAGACAGGACAAGAGTCCACAGCCAGTCACCTCTCTCCTTTCTATTTATGTGTCGCATGGCTCTCAGGTTTGTAAAAATCACAGTTTACATAGAAAAGCAAACACGTAAGAAGCAGCACTCTATTTTGCAAGAGGCTCCTGGGTGTTTGTCCCCAGCACAGGGAAGCAGCGTCGCTGAGCTCAGCACCTCACGAGCCGCGTCTCTGACCAGCAGCACCTTCCTCCACACTGGTCCTGCCTGGCCGCAGGGCACCTTCTCCGCCTGGACAATCTCTACACTCTCTTTAAGTCCTTTTTTTTTTTTAAGTCTTTGTGGTCACTTTGTCTGAGATGACTTCTCTAAACCCCCAAGTCTGAGTTCGCTGTTCTGCTCCCCATTCTTTTTTTTTTTTTTTTATCCTCACCCGAGGACATTTTTCCATTTTTTGTTCAGGTAGAGTGGGAGGGAGAGAGAGGAACAGAGAGAGAGAGAGAAACATCGATGTGAAAGGAACACATCGAGTGGCTGCCACCCGCACAACCGACCAGGGCCGGGGACAAACTGCAACCGAGGTACGCGCCCTTAGCGGGAACCGAACCCGGGTCTCTCTGTACCGCAGGCCGATGCTCTAACCACTGAGCAAAACCGGCCAGGGCCTGCTCCCCATTCTTTAATGTGATTACACACTTCACCGTACGTCTGTCCGAAGAGTTCACACACTCCGCGGGCTGGTCTGTGTCTGCCGTGCCCTCCACGCCTACCTCGGGGTATACTTAGATTAAGTACTTAGTAACCATGCTCAGAGGGAACCAGCACTGCTGTGCAAACCGCTGAGCCTTTTAAAAGCGACAGGACCAAACTGTGATTAGGAAAAAGTGTCTTTGGAAGATCGTGAACCCCTGTGCAGCCGTGGGAAGGCACCCCGAAGACCTTCCTTCCAAAGACAGCCTGCGGCGAGGAGCCTGGTTAGCGGGCATCCTGCAGCCGCCGCGCCCCGGCCAACGGAGCACGCTGGGGAACCAGGGCTGCCACTCCTGCCAACGCGCAGGTCCTCTCACGGGCGTCCTGGGCTCTGCGGTGCTCCTGGCCAACACCTTCTGAGAGCTGCCTTCAGCCATCTGCTGGCTCCCTTCCTCCCTCCGAGGGGTCTGACCCAGGCACAGGTCCCCGCACTCGCCACACCTGCTCCTGCTTCCTCTCTTCATCCTTTGTGGGAAGTCCCTCCCCACCTAAAACGCTCCTGCACTTAAAATTCCATCACCGTGTCCACTTCACGAAGAACCCTAGTGACCCAATGCCAAGTACGGTGGCAGGTATGACCAGATTCCTCATGCCCACTGCAGCTGAAGGAACACATAGGATTCTTCCTAGTAATAAAACATTCACTTAATGAGAAATTAATAGTCTAAGATACGACTCCCAGAGCTGAAGAAATCAAAGCCAATTCTGAACTACAACAAAAATCCATGTTGCCTTTCTTCTCTGTGCACATCTCCACCGTCATTCCCAAGCCAGTCTGTGAAGGGCACGACTGTTCATGTCCCATCAAATCAACAGATCATCCAGATGCCTCACAGGACCTTCAGCTGAAAATGCTTCTTGTTCCAACAACAACAAACATTGTTTTAGCTTCTCCCAATGTCCGTTCTCCTTTGCAAGAATGACGGAAGCGACAAGGGTTATCACAATGGAAGTCGGCAACAGCCCAAGCGCTGAGGGCAGAACTGTGCTTCCCAGACCTTCTCCCCTCCTTTCTCCTCCCACGGAAGCAAAACCTGGGGGCCTTCGGTGTCTCCTCCCCTTCTCCCAGTTTTACATTTTGATATTTCACTTATGTGTACGCTTACTTGATTCACTCACTTGGTCAATATTTATCGAGCATCTACTATTTGCTGCACACACATGGGTTCCCGCCCTCACGAAGCTTATCCTTAGGAGGTAATGTATGAGTGATGAGCGAACAAGGTCACTTCAGGTACTTTTAAGTGCTTTGAGGAAAGAAGCCTAGGATGATGTGACAGGGAGCAGGGAGAAGGTGGGTAATTTGACAAGATGATCAGGGAGGCAAGACTGGAACTGAGAACTGAAATATTGAGAGGGCAACACCCTTGCTAGGAGCTAAGGGTCTTCACCTTCTTGACAGGAAACAGAAAGAGCAAATGCAAAGGCTGAAAGCGGTAACCCCTGGGCAGGCTGGACCAGGCCCCCGAGGGCTGGCTGCTGTCTGTCCTCATCAGTGTGCCAAGCCTGTGATCTCACCGAGTCGACTTGGAACACTTTTTCCGAAAAAGTCAGTGAACTGCCTTTGCAGGTAATTATTGTTCGCAGGTCTCCTCTGAGTTCTCGATTAGAAGCTAGAGGAGAAATTGCAGCCCAGGCGTTTGCCACACTCCCAATGCCAGGCAAGCCCCTCTCCGGCAGCCTCGTGGAGGTCATCGTGGCCAAGGAGGAGGAGACCACGATCGTGCCAGTCACAGCTCATGAGCTGAATGAGGACCACGTGAGTTTACTGAGATTTGGGGATGTGAGAGTTACCGGAAGGAAGCCCACTTCTAATCTTTACCACGTGGAGTCCCCTTCCGTCATCACTGTGGAAATGAGAGTAAGACCCACTCACAGGCCACAGCTGGTGGCGTGCTTCCTCTCTGGCTGAAGAACAGGCGCCTGTTCTGAAGTTCCCAGAACTCTTTCCAGTGTGTGGTAAAGAGGAAGTCTGGGGAAGGAAGGGCCATCCCACTTACTATGTCTCAAGCTCCAACACTCATGATCTACACTCTGGCCCACAATTTCAAGGAAGTTTGATCAATTGCGTGTTCAAGGGGATCTTCGGGGAAAGAGCTCAGAATACACAACGTGCTGCCCACAACACCAGCTTTCTTTGCACTTCTGAAGCTGCCCAGAGCACAGTGCACATTTCCCAACCCTCCAAACCCCACTCTTGTACCAACATTAAACACAAATGTGCAGACAGAAGCAGTTTTGGCAAAGGTGCCTTGTTCCCTAGGGGACCTGTCATATGACCTACTTCCCAGCTCTGTGGGGTCTGCTTCAAAGACACAAACTAAACCTGAGAAGGAGCAAGGGAAATGTCCCACAACCCAAACCTCGATGGGGTATTTTCAGTCACCTCTTTCACTACTGTGACCAGGTTCATTATTGTCACCTGCTGCATGATATAGGAGCAGAATAATTAATCCAAAATTTTGCTTGCTTCAAACTAAGCACTGACAACTGATTTTAATTTTTCTTAAAGGGAGGGGGGGTTGGTGCTTGTTAAGTTCTGCAGAGTAGGCTAACGTCTACAGACAATCACCCCACAAGGTGTTGTTTTATCACAGCTTGGAGATGAAGGGGAGATTTATTACAACTACTAATGCTATTTCTGTCCATGTCTTTGAAATTCTAATTAGATTATTAAACTTTTGAAAATCATTACATTCCATCTAGACTCCGCCCCTCCCTGTGACAAGGGTACTTTTGAAATTAGAGGATCTTGATGTCATAGGTAATGATGTATTACTGATAATAAAGTTGGAGGAAAATCTCTCCAATAAAAACCAGTTGGGAAAGACAGAGCCCATTTATCTTACTTTCTCTCCCAGTTTTACGCCCAAGGATGAGGCGTCTGCCGCACAGAACAGCGGCCGGGCTTTTTCCGTTTGCGGAGAGGATGATGCTTGCTCACTTGTGGCAAGGTTTAACGACTTGTCACGGCTACTTAAATTTTTTCCCTCAATCTGAGAGGTAAATCAAGAAATTTACAAATTAAAAGATACTTGAAAGAAGGATACTTTTTGAAGAGATATGAGACAAGTGGCAGGTTCAGCGCATATGAATGGTAGGGACATCTTAGGGCATTTTGATTTATGTCACAGACATTCAAACTGGTATCTGAAAAGAAATAAATTGCCTACTCTTAACCCAGATCCATTTGTAGGTAATAAATGGGTGTGCTCTTTACCCATCAAATAATGGCTGTAATGCCCTTCAACATCAGTGGATGAGGAATGAGTACCACCCTCTACCCTCTGCAAGATAACCCCATTTCTTTAGGTAGAGATCTTAGCCCTTCACCTCCCCGCAAAAGGAAGTGCATGTGGCTTACTTACCATGATGTACGACGCCCTTCAACCCGTGGATAATAGGATCCAGTGCAGAATTGTCCCTTGGACTGACCTACATGTAAAGAAAACATGATTGGTTAAATCCATTCTGGCATCAGACACAACAGTCTCAGTTTAATCTTCTACAGAGAAGGAGGGAAAATAGATGTTATCTAGCAAGCTGCTCAGGTCTCGCATATACCACGGCTCTTGCCAAGCATAGATTTATGACATAATAAAATCGAGTGAGGAAGTCTAAATCAAAAGAAAGAAACTTCTCAGGATACATGAGAACAGGAGAGAAATACCATAGTTCTAGCAAAATTTTAAAAAGCAAGCAAGGTTTTCTCTTCTTGCTTTGTTTTATTAAAAGTAGATAGACCCTGATTGGTTAAAGCCATTGGAAGTCCTCAGAGAGCAATTCATCACTGACTGAATATTTCAATACCTTATTGTGACTGTTTATCTCTCTTCTTTTTAGAAAATGGTCTATTTCCTGCCAGCCTCCTCTCCTCCCAAGGTCCCTGGTCTCTTGCACCCTATCACATACTACAAAGGGTGTTTCTAAGAGTTGCTCAAAGCGGGAGAGAACAGCTTGAAGAGACAGTGTCCCCCAACATCATTACCTTCTGGGGTTTTTAATGCCCCCATAAGTCAAGCCTCTGGATCTTGACCCTCACCCATTCTTTTCTTTATAACTTTCTGATTCCACTCAGCAAACATTCTCATTCCTGCCCTTCCCAGAAGATTAACATTGCACCAGCATATTATAATTTGGGTTTTTAGGTACTTTCTTTTAGACACATATTGAAATATTTACAAGTGAAATGAAATAACTGGAATTTGCTTCAAAATAATGCAGGAGAGAATAGCAGGATTTAGAGGTGGCACGACTGGTCGTTTGTCAATCATTCATGACCTTGGACGATGAGTGTTGGATGGATCACGCTGCAATTTTCTCTACTTTTGTGTATGCTTAACTTTTCCCAAATAAAGAGATTTTCAAAATCCATCATCTGCGGTCAGCATAGCTCCTGACATATTTTTTCAGGATGGTATTTACTTGTAATCCACATTTTACATAATGAAGTTGAGATACTGATGAACCTTTCAATGTGTAGCAAGACTCAACTTGATGTTTCCTAGTTATCCAGAGGAATCCAGGACCATCTTAGGTTAAATTTTAGGGTAACTGAAAAAGGTCTACTCTCCACCCTGCTTCCAGTCTCCCTCCTGGCTGCTGTTCCCCGTTTGCTGTTTGGTGGTAACCTGTACACGTCACACATTTATTTTTCTCCTCTGCTCCAGTGTCTCCAGGTTAGAACAGTGGTTCTCAACTGGAGGGGGTGTTACCTGTCTCCCACCCCGGCTCCTGTAGGGGACATTGGCCATGTCCACAGACATTACTGGTTGTCACAAGTAGGGGTGGAGGAGGATGGGCTCCTAGTATCAAGTGGGTAGAGGCAAGGTTGCTGCTAAACATCCCATAATGCTAAGACTAGCCCCCCATCCCCATCAGAGGATGATCTGGTTTAAGAGGACAGTGTAGAAATTGGGGTGGAGGAAACAGGTTAGATGATCTGAGATAACAGTGATATATATTAATGTCTGGAACTTTGAGTGATAACTAAATTCAAACCCAGGTGTCATTATATATGGTGTTACGTATACAGGCTAATAAAACAGTGTGTGATTTCGTCCTACATAGTAAATACTATAGGTATGGGGGCCGAGGGAAGGGATAGGTGGTTAGGAACCGTGTATCAGATCACAAAGGTGAAATTCTGGGAGTTGGCCTAAGTGTACTTCCAAATCCCCAACAGGAAGCTCAAGCCAAAGGTTTAACATGCTTGCTGAAGCACAAAACATTCTTCAATGGCAAACATCCATAGGATATGCCAAAATCAAAATACACACACACACACACACACACACACACACACACACACATACACACACAGCAAATAAGTGATCAAAGTTTTAAAACATGATAAAAAATGGAATCACAACTCTAGAACATAAGAGAGTCTACCAGTAAATGTAGCCAATTTTCAAAAGTGGCAGAATAAAGTAAGAGCCCAGAGAAACATCCTGTACCAAACTGAAGTTTATACACAAAAAGATGGTCTCTGTCCGCAGACTGAGTCTGGACAAGATGTTAACGCCAGCTCAACCCCTTGTGCTTTCTCTAATATCTGTGGGAAATGGAAAAACGGCCACAAGCTCCTGCCATCCCTGTCACATGTACCTTTGCAATTTAACTGTGTCACTCATCCCATCAAGAGGGCGTATCACCTTCTCCACTCTTTGAAACTGGGCTTGACCTCGTGACTTGCTTTGGTCAATGTGACATTAGCAAACGTGCTGCAGGAAGTGTTTATGTAGGACTTGCGTGCAGGGCTTCATACTCTCGCGTTTCTCTCTGAAACCCTAAGACTGCCAGGTGAACCAGCCCAGGCTAGCCCACTGGAGGACGAGAGACACATGGAGCAGACACAGGCCGTCTCAGCTGAGCATATCCTAGACACAGCAGGCTGCCAACTACCAGACAGGAGAGTGAGTCCACGCGCGACCACCCAGCCTCAGAAGAACCTGCAGTCTGCAGAGACAGCCAAGCTGATCCTGCAGGAAGACCCGAGCAGCCAACCTATCGAATCATAAATAAGTAAATAATTCTTGTTTTAACTCATTGGGATCATTTGTCACAGAGCAAAATTCAGCTGTTGGAGTTTCTAAGAGTGTGTAGAGGACAGAGGACAGGGGACAGGCTGAGATATCAATCATTTTCTTAACCAATGCACTTTGTTTTTGGTTTATCCTTAAGGTTTCTCAGTGGAATTCCACGTCACGAGACACAGCACCTGCTGACAACCTGATCAACTCATGCTTCTCTAGAACTGAGTCACCCTCCTCTGCATGGGAACAGTTCACAGATACTCTGCTTTTCTATCCCATCTGCAGGGGAATATTTTGTACTTCTGGGGAACCTAAAATGCATTTAGCCTTATTTGATGATGTGAAAGCTCAAAAAAGCGATCTTATTTCCTCATGACTACACCCACCGATTACATCTTGAGCCCAGGCAAGAGGGAAATAAGCAGACAACCTAACCCAAGTTCAATTTCTGGGCATTTCTGACTGCAGTATGTCTGTGTCTGGTTACCCAGGCCTGGTCCCCTTCAAGCTCAAGGGCCTGACCACACATTCAGAGCAAGCCCACACGTGCAGCGCCCTCTGCAATGCCCGTGCACCTCCCTGGCCTCCACTACTAACACGTGGGTGAGGAGAAAGGGAGAGAAAAAGGAAGACTACTGATCAAAGTAGCTTAGTAATAATACTAAGCTCATTCTCTAGTTGCTGTCTTGGTTGCAAAACTCAGGGTGGGAATCCAAAGAGCATGCTAATAAGTAAATTTGTTCCAGTAAGGCACAACCCTAACTGAAATAATCTGTTCTACTCACTGATTCAATCAATTTGAAAAAAATTCATGGACATAAGCTAAGCAATTTGGGCAGCTTTCAAATATGACTGTAATAAAGAATAAACCCATGTTTACAAATCCTGGTCTCTGTCCAGGGTAGAGGAGGCCAAGGGAACAGGGAAAACGTGGAGTTCTGACCCAGAGATGAACCCTTGGAGCTTTAACGTTCTCTTCTGTAAAATGGGGATACGATCTGGTACTGCTGCTGTAAGATTAAATGTGCAAAGCTCAGAGTGTAATGCTGAGAACAGAGGCAAGATTCAATAATGGTGGATAGCCCTGGCCGGTTTGGCTCAGCAGTTAGAGCATCGGTCTGCGGACCAATGAGTCATGCGGGTTTGATTCCAGTCAAGGCATGTACCCTGCTTGCGGTTCATCCCTGGCTGTTTGGGGTCGTGCAGGAGGCAACCAGTCGATGTGTCCCTCTCGCATTGATGTCTCTCTCTCTCTCCCTCCCTCCCACTCTATCTGAAGATAAATAAAAAAATATCCTCAGGGGAGGATTAAAAACAAATAAATAGGAGTGGATATGACTGGATATCAACTTGACCCTAACACTCAAATTTAAACCAATGTCAAACAACAGCAATGTCATCCCTGAACTTCTCAATGTGTTTAGCTCTAAAAGTAATACGTACTTGAGCTCACATTTCAAAAATTCAAAGTTATGTTTTATTGGACATCCGCCTCATTCCATAATACGCTACCTCTTTTAAAGCCATGCGAGGCACGTTCCTGGCTCTCGAAATTGCTTCCTCCCACTTTAAGATCAAGGGAGTTAAGCAGCAATACCGAGAAGGCGGCGATACCCCAAAGGAGCGTAAGGCAGACGAGGAGAAATGGACACCCTGTCCCTGCAGATCGGCGCTCCTGTCGCTGACTTGGCTTGTGGCACCCCTCTGCGGAGTGGCTTTCAGGGCATGTCATGTTCAAGGATGGCATACCAAAGCAACACAGGGCTCTGCGTTAAAGCTTCTAAGTGTTGTCAGACACAACCAAAATACACACCGACGGCAATTCAGGGAACCGTGAGACGGAGTTTGGGGGAAAGGACACGTTTATAGAAATGCGGATGAAATCTAAGCTTCATGACATTTTCTTTCCAAATAACAGCCCAGCATAAGGATTCAACCGACGATCAAATTAATGACCACGTTATCAATAACCTCTGAAGATGTTTCTATCAGCCAGGCTCTGGAGGAGGATCTGTGTTATCCATGCTCGAAGCAAAACGGAACAGAGGCAGGCCCCCGAGACTGCGCATGGCTGCGCTGATATGCAGGCGTCCACTTCCGTCCACTGTGCCTTTTGGCCCTTGACTTGGATCCTAATAATCTTCACTCTATCCAGCCTTGGCCATCTGCTAAATACGATGTCCAAGACAACCTACTTGCCTCGAATCCGACACCGCCAGCTGCTCCTATAGTCCTGTACACGTCACATCCAGCCAATATGCTCTGGGGGGAGGGTTTATGCCTGCTGAGGGTGAGGGCTGCACCGTCAGCCACAGCTGCAGAGGAGAGTGACGCACAGCTGGGCCTGAACCCCGCGCGGCCTTCCTGAATTGCAGAGAAGAGGATCTGTCCGCTGAT